TTGGGTGGCAGTAAAATTGTCTTTACTATTCATATATATATATGTGTGTGTGTGTGTGTGTGTGTGTGTGTGTGTGTGTGTGTAGCCAAAATTTTGAGCTTAATGTGCACTACGGAGATAGTCCCTTTCTCATGAAAATAGGATAGAGAACACTATCAACCTCTGGCCTCCATGCCTCCATACATGCCTAGGTAGGTGACAGGGCACACGTATACCCACACAAGTGTGCGCGCGTGCGCGCGCGTGCGCGCGCGCACACACACACACACACACACACACACACACACAAATACATCATAAGTCATTAGGGTTCAAGGTCAAAGTAGTTGTGGCCTGGTTGTTAAAATGTGGAGATTTTGCTTTTGTTTTTGACTTTCTTCTCTATAATGGGTACCTGAATTATGAATATTATCAATGGCACATGTGTTATACTTTTTCCTGTATAGATATGCCATGATAAAGTTTAATTTATAAATTATATGCAAGGATGAAAAAGAGCTAATAATAGAATGATTATAATGTACTACAATAGAATTACAAGTTTGTGAGTTACTCACTTTTGGAATTTTCTACTTAATAGTTTTAGAACATAGTTCACTGTGGGCAACCAAAATCACAGAAAGTAAAACTGCAGGTGGAGTAGACTGCTGTGTACACAAACTTGCTTATTCACTTATAGGACAGGCTCAAGCACATCTACTTGGCACAGTTGTTCACCTGGGTGAGCTTCCTGCATGGCAGAAAAGTTGCTTGGCATTTCCTGAGGAGAGGATACATGGGGCAAGAACGATGTCACCAGAGAGTGGCTGAACTATGGGTATCACATTTACATCCAATGCCTGATGAATGTCAGGTGTCTCTTGATTTTTGTCATCAGGCTTTGCCCAGCTTAGATGTAGTCTAGTTTCTACTTCTTTCATAAATTCTGCCTTTTCTCTTAAGCTATTTGCTTGCTTGTTGTCTATATTGAAAAACCTTAACCAGTTTGCCTTAAGTCTTAGAAATTATATCCCAACTTATCTTCTGTGGTAAAACTGGATATTCTCCAAAGCAAATGTACATTGTAACCTGTGACTTATGTGTACATATGTCTGCTAGATTGAGTGAGGTTGACAGGTAGGGGTGGAGCAGGTGGTGGTTAGGCCTGGAGGCTTCCATCAAGTAGCCTTAGGCATTCTCATGACTTTTTTTTTTTTAAAAAGAGACTTTATTTTTTATTTTTAGTTATGTATATATATGCATGTGTCTGTGTGTGGGAATGTGTATGTGAGTGCAGTGCCCACAGAGGCCACAAGAGGGCAGGGTGTTGGATCCTGTGGCGTTGGAGGTAGAGATGGTCGTAAGTATCTTGATTTGGTTTCTGGGAATTGAACTTTGGTTCCTGGCTAGAGCAGCAAGTACTCTTAACCCCTGAACCATCTCTCCAGTCCCTTTCTTGACCTCTTAGTGAACCTCATTTTCCTCCTGCAGAAAGGGGCTACTCAGAATACAGCTCCCATGGGGAATGGAAGTGAATGAATGAGATAAGGTGCACAGGGCCTGGCAAATCTCAGTGAAAAGATCTGAGTTCTATGCTAATGAGCCGTAGAGAAAAGGGAGAGGTGCTGGGTGCACAGATCTGAGGCCTGTAGGAAGTCTTTGGTGGAGGATTGGCATACATGCTCCTGGGAAATTAAGAGGTTTAACTCCACATTCTCCTTGGGGAAGTACTTCTGATGTCTGTGCATAAGGACTCAGAAAGTCTTCTCCATTGGGACCTTGAGAATAAGGAGATGGGGTCACTTGGCAAGGAAGAAAATAGGTGTGGGTATATATAGAAGTGTAAATCCAGAAAACAAATAACTAAGATGAGCAAAATGAGCTGAATTGTAGCTGTAGATTTCTCATTCACTTTCCCTGGAGAGGGAGAGAGGGCAAAGCTATGAGACAATTGTTATTGTGATGTACTTAAAAAAAATCACACAGTACCGCTGACACCACATGTGAGGGTTTTCCAAGCAATGTTCTAATTCTGTGTGGGCACCAAATGGGTGCCCAGTGATTAAGTCAAATTTCAACGTTATCTGGCATCAGCCTAAGACTGCACAGGTTTAACTCAGTTCCATTAGACTGCCCCACTTCAGATGCCAATCACAAATGGAAGAAGTCTGGCAGAAATTATCTGGGTTACCTCCAACTTGGCTACACGCTGGAGGTTGTTCCCACAACCTCGGCCTCAGCGCTGGTGTCTTAGTCTATTTTCTGTTGTTATAACAATATCACAGCGGTGTATTATAAGCAACAGATGTAATTTATATGGCCTGAAGATAAACCTTCAGGTTCTAAAGTACACAGCTGAGGGGCCACACCTGATGAAATCCTCTGTGCTGCATCATGGTGGAAGGATGAGCAGCAACAAGAGCCAGCTTGCTTTTTAACAAAGCCCCTCCTGGAAAAACAAACCTGCTCCAACAATAAGAGTATTGACCCATTCAAGAAGGACCAAGTGGGACCTCATGACCTAGCTAACCACTGAGTAAAGATTCCACCTTTTAATTTGGCTTAAATTTCAATCAAATTTCCACCCGTGTCTTGCAGGGGCCAGTTATTAAGGATACAGGTGAGCATCTAGGTGAACAGATATGTGGAGGAAGAAAGACTGGTGCCTGGGGCTTCATGCCATCTCCTGGCATACCACCTTCCCTACCCCCATGTCTTCACCAAGGGAAAGTATCCCAACCCTTTTTAGAGGTTTTACAGAGGCTCCATTACATAGGCATGATTAATATACAATCATCTGCCATTGGTGACTAACCCAATCTTCATCCCTCAAGGTCAAGAGTACACTGAAAGATTGGAACTCTAATATTGGTTCTTTGGGCAATAAACCTCATACTTTTCTTGTCTAGAGGTCCACAAGAAACTCCTCATTAGCGTAATTCATGCATGGTTGAAAAGGACTTGCTGTGGATAACACATATGTTACTGTCTCACTCTATCACACAGGAATCCCAAGGGTTCTAATGCTGTGTATCAGAAATGGGGGATGAGGGGCCTGAAGAGATGGCTCAGTGGTTAAGAGCACTGGCTTCTCTTGCAGAAGACCCAGATTCGGCTCCCAGCATCTACATGGTGGCTAACAACCATCTGTAACTCCAGTTCTAGGGAATCCAACATTCTCTTCAGACCTCTGTGGCCTTTGTACAATATGGGTGCATTTACATACATGCAGTCAATACACTCATACACATAAAAAATAATATTTTTTAAAAAGAAATGGGGGATGAGGACCAAATATGTATATCTCATTATAGTGCAATATCATAATGATTTTAACAGAAATCCTTTTTAACCCACAACAGTGTCAGGAGGAGCTGGAGTGAAAGGATCCATATACGCTCAGTGGCAGCAAGGCCCTCACAGGCTACACCCTAGCTCTGGATAGAAAGAAGGAACTTTGTGTGTGTCTTCTTGGCTGAGGCACCATGGCCAGACTTTTCCAGGGCCTGCTGTTCCTGGTAGTCACTGTGGCCCTGGTGTCCAGAAGAGTCCAAGCATGGGGCACAACGAAGGTGGTGAGGCCATTTGTAGACATCTCCAAAACCTATATCTATGTGCAGCAGGCACTCTGGTATGCCATGAAAGAGTATAATGTGGACAGCAAGGACCAGTACAACTTCAAGGTGATGGACATCCTGAAAGCTCAGGAGCAGGTGGGCACAGCATCTGTTCCTTGCTCGTCTATTCCCCGGTCTTCAGTAGAGGCAGAAGCCAGTGTCCAGGGATAGCTACCATGCCAGGGAGTGGAAACAGGGCCAAGAGAGGCCTCTATCTACAATATGTGACATCACTTTAAAAAGTTTAAGTGACAATGAATTGTATTTCCGTTTTTTATTAGCCCGAGATGGAGAAGAAACAAATTATCCAGTAAAGTAATTCAGAATTGGTTATAGTCATATCAAAAGTATAGATGAGCTCAGAAGGCAGCTTGATGGGGCTGAGTGTGGGGCGAACAGAGCATTATCAGCATGAAAAATAACAGGGAAGGATTATAACACAGCGAGGGAGCAAGGACACAGCACCCAGATGATGTTGGAAGGAGGACTAGGACAGACAGGAAAGCTCATCTTTACAGAAAAACAGGAATTCCCATGTATACAAGACATGGCATACCTGAAAATGGCAGCTATCTCAAAAATAACCCGATTTAGGCAGACTGTCAATGGATCCTATAACCACTGGTGAAGAAATGTTGTGGGTATAGTGTGGGCTGCTTAATGGTGGGGATGCCCTGAGAATTGCCTCAGGGGGTTTCATCATTGTATGAGGCTCCTAGAATGTCCCCCCATAAGCATAGGTGACAGAGGCCAATCACTTATCATCCTGAGATGTATTACTGCTCCTACCAGAGTCACATGGCAGGCTGCTTTATAGTAAATGTTTTTACAAGTAGAAGGAGCATGCTCTAAGGACAAAAACTATAGTAAATACATAAGCCAGAAACATGGTCCTTTGTTACCATTATCAAGTTTTATGAACTGTCCAAAATTGTATGCGTCGCCCCTGTCACATGACTGGCAGAACAGTGGGTATCCCCACAAACGTCGAGTCACGGGTTGTGCTGACGTCTTACGCAGGCTATGGTGTCAGTAGGCAATGGGAATATTTTGGTTTCTCTATGATCTTACAGAAGCTCCTTTGTAAGTGTTCTGTTCTTTCGGGGAAATGCCTGTAGTTACAAAGGGGAAAGATACCCTAACGATCAGGACATGCGTTGAGAACTTCCCTCCCCAAGTGCTATTTACCAACACTGAGACAAACCGGCATCACAGGGCCCCTTATGCGACATGGTGGCGGGGCTCAACTGCACCTGTCTGTAGTATTCGTCCTGTGTATAATCATGAGAAACTGACACATGGAACATTCTACACTTGGAAATATCCATGTCATGAAAGAAGGGAAAAGACTGTGAGACTCTTCTCCATTGAAGGAACTTAGGGAACATGGTGACTAAATGAAGACTGTTACTGGGATTTCTGGGGGAATTAGAGTGTGGTGACTCAATAGGGAGGAGAGCCTTAGATATAAACTAAATTTCTCAAGAGAGCAATTGTGTTGCGGCTAGGTAGAAGCCTGAGATAGTGGACTGAGGCAAGAGAAGTAGTTCAGTCTGACTGGGCTGTGAGGAACGGAGGGCAGAAACAGGGTGACACGGACAAGGCACTAACATGACAAGTGCTGCAGAGACTTGCCCCTCTCCTTCACTTCCATTTGTCCTAGCCACAGGCTTGCCCTAGTGCACCGATTTCATATTTGGCGTCTCTGCTATCATGCAGTGATATGGGGGAGGTGTTTATGGCACAGACGGATTCATACTGGTTTTTGAAGGGCTTGAGGCTGTGTATTAGATCTGCCCTTGTGCACAGCCTTGTCCTGCTCTACACTATAGTGTGATGTAGTAAGGCCTTTGCCAGACGCAGGCTCCCTGACCTTGACCGCGCAGCCTCTAGAACAGTAAAAATTAAATATCTACTCTTCATAAATCACCTTGTCTCAAGCTCCAATAAACCAGTGCTTAGCTCTCCCAGGAAAATGTTCTTTGAGGACTCGTTTCCTTGCTTTATCCTGGGGACACTTGCATCGCTTTTAAATTAAAAACCAGAGGCTGAGGCGATGGCTCAGTCAGGGAGCTGCTTTCTGTACAAGCCCGAGGACCTGAATTTGATCCCCAGAATCCACATAAAAGTTGGGCGTGATGGTGCGTGTCTGCAATCTCAGAGCTCGGGGCAGGGGGCAGAGACAGGTGAATCCCTAGAGCTCATTGGCTAGTCAGCTTAACTGAACTGATAAGCTCTAGGCTCCGTGAGAGAGACTGAAGAAGACGAAGAACATGGACTTCTTACCTCCACATGCACATTCAGGAACGTGCTCACACACTAGCATACACATATGTACATACCTACATGAACACATTCATACACAATACACACAAAATAAGCCAATCGAGAAGTAAAGATAGATATCAAGGTAAGAGTCCCCTCCCCTCAAAATCCCAAGACTTCTACCAGGAAATGTGGGTTGGAGGAAGAGCAGGGAGCGATTCTTGCGCTAAGCTGTCAACTGCACATTTCTTGATCAGAGAGGATTCTTCGTGCTGTTTTCTTTTGTGAGATTTGATTTTTAAATGATCATTGACAGCTCACAGATAGTCTGGAGTACTATCTTGAAGTCAAAATTGCCAGAACAATGTGCAAGAAAATTTCAGGAGACAATGCAAACTGCTTATTTCAACAGGATCCGCAAATGAAAAAGGTACGTGGCTAACATGAGGGGGAATGATGCTCCATTACACTTGTGAAGTAGAGAAACTGAGGTCAGTTCTGCTTTGTTTTCTTGATTTTCATTTAAACTCTGCTCTGACATATTCAGGGCTGTGATAGCCAGACTCTAGAGCCTGAACACTGCTTCTGTTTCCTATTACTGATACCAATCTGCCCCATCCTACCAAGACATGAATATACAGCTGGGGACACACACACACACACACACACACACACACACACACACACGCACGCACGCGCGCGCAGATATACAACATATAGAATACGCAGAGACAGGCACACATGCACAGACAGCATACATAGGCACACATACAGAGACAGACAAATACATACATGCACACATAAGACACACAGACACACAGACAACACACAGGTACAAAGTCATAGATAAATACATGCACACAGAGACACACACAGACATAGAAAAAATGGGCTTAAAGCAAAACCAATCAACTCATATTTCTCACTGTTTTACATTGTGGACTGGGTTCTGCCAGGCAGCCATTTTGCCCTCGTGATGTGTGCTGGCAGTAAGGGGCTAAATGAGCGTGTCACTCATCACATATGTGACTCACCTCAGATGGCCGATGCAGCTTCATTTCTTCTTTTTGGGGCCTCTCTGGTACAAAATGACCAAATGACCTGTTTTGTCCAGAACTAATGGATTTCCTAGAATATGCACCGGTCCCTGCTAAAATCAGGGACATCTCAGCCAAACCAGCATGAGCTCACCATCGTATACACTGACTTCTTCACCAAGAGCTGGTCCCCAAGGGAGCCTACCTTCTTTTTAAATTTTTAATTTTATTATTATTACCATGTTCAGAGTCTCTCACTGAAATGGGAGCTTGCCATTTTGACTATATGGTCTGGCCAGCAAGCCTTCACAATCTATTTGTCTCTGTTCCCCAAGCCCTGAGGTTACAGGTGTACACTGCTGCACCTAGTTTTTACATGAGTCTGGGGCTCTGAATTCAGGTCCTCATGCTTGTGCAGCACTTTGCCTACTGAGCTTTCTCCCCAGCTCTATCTCCTTAAAGAAGTGTTAAGAAGATTCTGCTAGCAGCTATGCATAGCTGCTATACTGGTGGATACCCTACCCCAAATCCTGTTAGAAGAGCCTGACCCAGCAGTGGGGCATGACATGTCCACCCCACTGGAATCCTTGAAAACTGGTTCCTCTCAAGGAAGGACCCACAAGCTCATCTTATCTGATTCCAATAGGCCTGCTGCTGTATGAAAGCCCTAGGAGGCTCTGGGAATCCTGTCCCCCACCTCTGTGGCTTCTGGTTGAATGACCCCAAATGCCCAACATAGTGTCCCCACGTTCAATCTTCTGCTTCTTCATGTCAGAGTTGAGGGACATTCTGGGTATGCCTTAGTGTTACCAGGCTTTGTGCCCAGATGTGTGCCTTACACAGGGGCCTGTCTCACAGTGGGGCCAACACTGTTTTATTAGCAGTGACATATTAGATTCAATTTAAGCTATTTAAGTGTGTATAAATGTTTTCTAAAACTACATTCTCGTGAAATATGTTAAGGATAAAGGTAGTGGCATGCCCTTTGAGACCCTTGATGACTGCCTGATTTCCTTCCCACCAGGAATTATCTTGGGTATCACCTGTGTCAAGATATCTTGCTATAACTTCAAATAAACTGATATAAAGAGGAGCTTTTCTTCTCTTTGCTATTTTGATATTTTGATACAATTTCATTTCCATCATTGCTTGAGTCTGTCATTCATGTGTATATCAACATCATGTGGGTATTTTACTTTATATTTGTATTCTAAATGAATAAGGATTTTTAGGAGGAGACTAGGAAAATAATGTGTTCACTGCACACCATGAGCCTGGAGCCCCACTTGTTCTGCAGGACTGAGACCAGATCTATGCATCGTTGTCCAGTTCCCCAGCCACAGGACTTTTGCTTGGTGTCTGGACAGATTTTAACTTCTCTCTCTCAGAGGTGCAGGTCTTGTTTCATTGGTTCCACAGGGGATGACCTACTGGGACCTTGGTACAGCACAGGGCCTCTGTGGGCCACAGGAAAGCGGATGTGATTGGAGGTGGGATTTCCTAGGCTGACCGGTTCCTGGGTTCAGACCTATTCTAAGAGGAAGACTGGCTCCGCTGTCCTAAAGCTTAAGGTTTGCCCTCCCTGCACTGCAGTGGGCATGGCTGGTTCACTGTCTTAGCTCTCCATTTCAAATCCTGGGGCCCAGAAATAAATAAGGACTTCTGTGGTTTTTTTTTTCATTTCTCTCTCTCTCTCTCTCTCTCTCTCTCTCTCTCTCTCTCTCTCTCTCCATATGTGTGCAGATCATTCTCTACCTTATCTTTTGAGATAGACTCTCTCACTGGTAGACTGGCTAGTCATGGACCACCTAGGATCCAGGTGTCTCTGTCTACCCTGTCCTTATGTTATAGAAATGTGTAACCACACCTGGCTTTTTTATATGGGTGCTGGAGATCAAACTAAAGTTCTCCTGCTTGCTTAGCAGAGCAGGCACTTTGCCATCTGAACCCACCTCCTTAACTAATTTTTTTGTCTGTTTTAGATCATGCTTTGCACTTTTATTGTTAGATCCAAACCATGGAGATTTGAACTCAAACTGTTGAAGAAACAATGCCAAGATGCCTAATCACCTTCCAACACATTTTGCCACTCTTAAAGGAGTAAACGTGCTTGCAAGATGTTTCACCACCATAGCTGACCCACTGATTTCATTAACGTGGCTTTGCTTCTTTTTTTGAGTGTTCTTTGGGGCTGGTGCTGAGAATGGGAGATGATGTTTTCTGGGGCTGGGCAGCTGCTCCTGGTGGCTTTTCTGCCTTCTTGCAGAGATGATCTGGTGCCAATAAACGGACATTGTTTCTAGCCTCACAAGCTCTGAGCTTCCTCTACTCTCACTTGCTCCATGAAGTCCCTTCTTTGCATAGGATGTTCAAATTGCATGTGTGAAACTAGCAAATCAGTTGTCTAAATGGTACATGTGTCTGTTGTCATTTCATGCGTCCTCATGCTCACATGGCAAGCACTTTACCAACTGAGTCATCGCCTCAGCCCCTTCATGTCCATTTCTTATGCAACAAAAATGATTTACTTTTTAAAATAGATGTCTGTCAATAATTTCATTTTATTATCAGGTCAGTTTCTGCTAGCTCCCCAGTCAGTTCCTATTTAGCTCACACTAGGCTAGGAATCCTGGGAATCCTCTAGAGCAAGCTTCACCCTCAGGATCCTAAGTAAGAGTCTGGGCAGGTGGAGAAGGACAATGGGACTCTTGTTCATAGATTCCTTGGCCTCTGAGTTTTGTTCAACACTAGGTAGCTCAAGTCACAATCTGGTAATGTTCTTAAAGAATTCTCCAATGGTTTTCTGGCTGAGCACTATGTCCTTCACTTAAATAATGGGGAGGGTGGCTTTTTTGGGGTCCCCCTGTTACATTTCATAGCACAGGGCTAGAGTTCACCTAAGATGATGGCTGGTCAGGATCCACAGGTTCAGATATGCTATGTTGACTTTAAAATCTTTCTGGAGGTTAGGCAGAAAAATCACAGTGCTGGTGACACACGGCTCCTGGACAGCAGGACCTCCCTGGACTATCTGCTGTGTGTGGTGAGTACAGTCACCACCCAGGGACTGCCCAGTGTGTGGTCAGGCAACAAACACGCTTCACCTGTGCCTCTTTTCACTTGGTGCCCAGCTGACTGGGGAGGTTAAACGAATGACATCCTTCTGGCCCCTGTCTCTGTGGTGGTCAGGAACAGGGTGTGGGACTCTAGTAGAGGAAGTCTTGTAGCATCCGTCTCCCTGCCCTGGGAGTGGGTTCTCTCTACTGCTGCTTATGATTTCTTCATAGTCTCACCTCTGTTTCCCTGTTGTGTACATCCTTGTGTCTGTGAGCAGCCCATGGGCACCTGGTAGGTTCCAGCAGAGGGAAGGCTTCACAGGCCTTGGGAATAGTAGTCAACAAGTCTCGCTTTCTGGTTGGTTCTAGGGAAGGAGGGGGTGATGTTCTTTCTGGCTTTCAATCTGGGGTGCATGTCCTGTCAAGATTGACCATGGAGGGATCCTAAGGTTATATGTGTTGTCTCTGTACAGAGCCAGTCACTGGCCCTTGAAGGAGTCACTGCAGCACTGCCAATCACCCTTTGTGGGGGAATCTCAGGCAGCAGAGCCCACCCTGCTGTGCCCACAGAGCCATGATGCTAGTCCCCCAGCTGTGTCCATGGGGCTGTGGAAATAATGCTGGAGGAGGAATGAGCTTGGACCCCTGCAGAGGGGAAGCATACAGCTTTGAGCAGCATTCAGTGCATTCCTTGTTCCTGCACAATGGAGGTCTCTGTCCCAGAAAACGGGGTCCAGCTCTCAGCTTACCTTCTGGCTCATTCACTCACTTTCCTAAGTGCTCTGTGTGCCTGCAGCCTCTGCCACGCCAGGCCATTCCTATCAGGAGGTGCACTGTATTTGGTTCAGCCAAACTCACTGATTTATTGTTGCATTATCTTCCTGTTTTATCATCTTTGATGCCCATTCTTTTTTGTGTGTACGCATTTGTGTGTGGGGGTGTGGTCCATTTATGAGCCTGTGCTCACATAGGAATGCACATGCATACATGTATGTGTATGGGAGCAAGAGGTGATGTTGGTTTTCTTTCTCTCCTGCTCTACACCTTATGTTTTGAGAAAAGGTCTCTCACTGAACCTAGAGCTCACTGATTCAGCGAGACTTGCTGCCAGTGAGTTACAGGAATGTAGTGCCTCCCCACAGCTACAGGCACATGCCATCGTACCCAGCTGGCAATGTAACTTGTGTCCTCATGCTCACATGGCAAGCACTTTACCAACTGAGTCATCGCCTCAGCCCCTTCATGTCCATTTCTTATGAAACAAAAACGATTTACTTTTTTAAATAGATGTCTATCAATAATTTCATTATCAAATAACAAAAAGAAAAAAATAAAAACAGAAAACAGTCCTTTGAAGGTTAGAGCAGGAGACTCAGGAGTTCAAAGTCACTCTCTGCTACATATTGAATTGATGGCTAAACTGGGCTACTACAAGGTACCTTTCTGGGAGAAAAAAAAATAAAAGAAAATTGCAATAGCCACCTCTACCTGATTAGGAGGTCAGCACAGACAGGCAAAAATCACTGAGCTGAGCCCCTGGGGGTGGCCCTTTGGGGTGTACAGGACCCCTCCCTATAGATACAGGAGCCTGGGAGCCTGGTTTGTTTGGTATGCCATCATTGCCATCTCAGTACCCAGGTGTGGGAGTAGAGATAGAGTCTGTGGAAGGTAGCCATTGTTTCCAGGAGCCTGGTGTCTCTTGGGGGAGGGCAGGGGCTCTGGCCCCGCTGGGCCCAGCGTCTGGGTAGGAGAATCATCAGCTGTCCTCATGGCTGGGTGAGGACTCTGCCAGGTTGATGGGAATGAACATGGAATGCCAGCTTTGCCTATAGCAGCATCAGGACCACCCATGGTAAGCACCGGGCATCACATAGCCTGGGAGCAGCACAGGTGAGGGCAGGGTGGCCTCAGCTCCTGCTCTAGCACGTGCTGGATGAACCACATCTCAGCTTGTTCCTCCTTCAAGTTCGGTGGCTGCCAAGACTCATGGTCAGAGTAGGGTTCCATCTTGAAATGTTCTTTCAGCTGCCACTGCTGTTCCCAGTGCTCTTGGTCACAGGGACCCAGGGCACAGGCATCCCCAGAGGTTCTCCCATCCGGGATGAAGCTCAGTTCTCCTGTTTGAAGTTCAGTTCTGATTTACTTTTTAAGATTAGTTATTTTGGAGGGATTGATTTCTAATTAACCAATTAATACCACGTATATGCTGGCAAAATGTTTCACACTTCACCTTGTCCAAACAATAATCTGGCTGTGACAGTGATGATCACTGGACCAAGGAGAGGCCTGTTCTGTGTCACTGAGACAAAAATACATAATCCCTCAGGACACAGGACAGTGTTTTTCAAGGACCCCTTTAAAATTTGACCTATGTGTTATTCTTAGTCTTAGGTAAGTTTTGCACGTCGTGGTGGTGGGGGGTGGGCAGCAGTGGAGGCCACAGAGAGAAAGGACTATAGACCTTCAAAACACAGCTCCAGGTCAGATGGAGCTATTACCAAGGGGAGATGTAGTAGACCTCTAGCACCACTTGCTTTCAATTGATTTTAAAAGTTATACATGCTGTAGGTCACGCTGCCAAGGAATACATTATTGTTGGTTCCCACGGGCTTTGCTGGGAAAGATATGGCTTACTGAAGTTACTTGAAAGTTAAAAACTGTTTTCCAGAGAATGTTATCTCCTCCCGCCCTGTGCTCCAAGGAGAGTTGCGTCTATCTTCCCAGTCCTCCCGGGAAAAGTGGTGCTTCACTATCTATCTCCCTTGTCCTCCTGGGAAAAATATCGCTTCTCTGGTTTCCCCTTTCTTCACTTTAAAGAGGTCTTTTGTTTTCTAACAATTAACCACAGAATCAACCATTCTTAGGAAAGGAACTAAAAAGATACGAGTCTTACAACTTTCTAATCAGCAAATTTTCTTCAGATTCACATGACCCAGAATACCCACTGATCTAAAGAGAGCAGCCTTGTCCTAGTAGCAGAGAAATAAACCTTCAGAAGTTTCTAACCACCTAGGCACCCACCTATCTGACATGCCCTCCAGGCTCCCCATGCAAGTTTTAAAAACTACATTAATTGATTGATTGATTGATTGTGTGTGTGTGTGTGTGTGTGTGTGTGTGTATTTTCATGTGTGCTACAAATGTGTGGAGGTCAGAGGATGACTTGGGGGAATTGCTTCTATTCTTCCACCATGTTAGGTCCTCAGGGTTGAGCTCAGATCATCAGGGTTGGCAGCAAGCACTTTTACCTACTGAGCCATCTTGCCAGTCCCCTATGGAAGTCTACTTGCATCTTCACCCCCAAGCAAAATGGTCTTTATTGATCACAGGCTCCATCGTTTTGATTTTCTAGCTAGCGTTCCAAACAAATCTTTGCCCCAACAACTTGTCTGGACTGGCCAGGGCATACCTAGACTGGGCCTCGGAACTTCGATCTCTGTATTTCTTGTACTCTCCCCATTACAGGGCAACATGGCTGGGAAACTTTTGCCAATTTTGATCATTTAGTTCTCTTATCACAGAAAGAGTAGATCTGTTGAGATGCTAGAGAAGAAGGAACATTACTCTCTTTCTGAACAGCGGAGCTCCTCTCTCTGCTGGGCAAAGAAAGAGACACAAGTCAAGATGTCCTCAGGTCTGTCTACTAGGGAGACTGAGGCATGTGATGGAGCCTGCATGCTCAAGGGGCCCGGGGGTACAGCAACCATGAATAACCAAGGTGCTCTGATACCAGCAGCTACCAAGACCATGACTGGATCCTCTGAACAAGTGTTTGGCACACTGTTTCTGGAATTAAAAGCAAAAATCAGAAAGTAACTATTTTGGTGTTTGGGGGCTATGCGATCTCTTCCCCAATAACTCTGCTACTCCTACATCTTGAAGGCAGCTATTGGAGATGTGCAAACAAATGAGGGTGGTTGTGTTTAATAAACCATATTTACACAGCAGACAGGAGGCTGGGAATGGCCCCTGGGTCCTATTTGACAATATCTGACAATAAAAGACAGAAG